TTGTATGTATCCTTTGTTCATGTTTATATTGAGCTGTCTTTCATTATTTAATTTTAGATCTCTTGGTCTTAAGATATTTAAGAAGGAGCGTCATTCTCATTTGCCACAATTTTACTTTGCTGTTAAAGCCCACAATTCTAAGATTAGGTTCCTCCTAAATAAGGTAGTATATAATTTTTTAAAAGGCATTAGAAAATAGTAATATTTTAAAAAGACATTACAAAACAGTTACATATATTGAGTCTAGTTGAAAGGTATGTAATTGTTTATTGTACTGCTTTTTCAATTTTCCTATATTACTAAACATTTACTAAGAGTTGGGAAAATAGGAAATATTTCAACAGATTTGGTAATAGCTTCAGTAAGATTTGTTTAAAAAACAAAGGAGCCAGGTGTAGTGGCATAGGCCTATAATCCCAGCTACTTGGGAAACTGAAGTGGGAGGAAGCCAAGTTTGAGAGCAGCCTGGGCTCTGTCTCAAAAAAAGACAAGGAAATGAACATCAAATATAAGTTCTCTTTTGTCTTTTGAGGAAGAAAATTTTTTTTGTAAATCACTAATTAGAAAAATATTAATCATAATGTATAAAAACTACATTTTTTAGACTTTTTTATTTGAAAACTACATTATTAAGAGGCTTTGTAAACAAAGCAGTATGGATTCTATTTTTAGAAGAAATTATGTGAAAGTGTTTTCCAAGCTTTAAATAATTGTTAAATTTAAGTAAAGCTATATTTACTTTTTTCAGAGCTGTCTCCTTATTTGTGTTCACATTCCTCGGTGTCCTCATCTGTACCATCCCCAGAAGCCCATATTCTTGTACTGTTTTGAAAATTCCTATCTTTAAATGAAAATGTGTATAAACTGAAAAGGATAAATTGAGGTTAGCAAACATTTGCTGGTTACTGATCCACTATGTGCCAGGCTCCTTAAGATATTTTAGGGTATAAATGTTTTAAATCTCCCCAAAATTTGTATGTTGAAATCTTAACCTTCAAAGTAATGGTTCTGGGAGGGGATCAGGTCCAGGGGGTGGAGCACTCATGAATAGGACTAGGACCCTTCTGTCAGAGGCCTGGCACCCCTCACCCCTTCTGCCCTGTGAAAAGAGCCCTTGTGAAGCAAGAAGCAGGAAGCAAGAGACAGGAAGTGAGCCCACAGGCATCGCATCTCCCAGAACCTTGATCTTGGGCTTCCAGAAGTCTTTTGAGAAGCCTCTGAGAATACCTAATAATAGTACGTGTAAGTTATTTATAAAACTTGCCTTTAAAGGTAGATGACTCTGTTGTCTCTTTTAAATTGAATGTAATTGAATTCCTGTTCTGCTGAATGATATGCTAAGTTTTAGAGATGCCAGATGTATTCATACAAAACAGTATTTTTAATCTATATTTTGCCCTCTCAGGAAACTGTATTTATACTGGTCTGTCAGACAATACTTCTAATGTAAGAGACGACCTTTGCAGAATTTTATTTTTTAGCATGTGTTTATTTTTCATTCAGATGTGCCTATTAGCTATGTAGAGAGCTAAATAACTGGCTGTTTGTTTGGAGTGAGTTGGTATTTTGGTTTTGGGTTTTTTTGTTTCATTTTGGTAATTTAAAATGAATTTATTTTGTATATATTAACATAATTTAAAAATTGGTAGCCATTGTGTATTTTAAAGGCAGTCAATATTAATTACAGACTGCCTTTATTTGTATTTAAGAAATACAAATAAGCAAATAAAAACAGTTTAAACATCTACTGTCCCACCACTTTAGTCACAAACTATTAAATCTAATAACAAAAGCTTTCTGTGCCTTTAAATGGTATTTAAAACTAGAGTCTTTGAGGTATTGTGAAAATTGGATATCCACATGTAAACTAATGAAATTTTCCTTTACCTTACACCATATATAAAAATGAACTCAAGGGATCAAAAACCTAGATACAAGATTAAGAACTAAAATTCTTAGAAGACCTTTGCATCATTTGAGGTAGGAGTAACTCCTTGCATTTGACATTAAAAAGCACAGGTGACAAAAATAAAAATAGATGTCTTATACTATGTAAAACTTTAAAATTTCTGTGTCACATGACACAGGCTGAGGTATAGATTGCTTGTCTAGCGTGTGCAGGCATGAGGGCTAATCTTTAGCACCACAGTCAATAAAATAAACACACTCATAAAGCTACTCATGAAATGGGACAAAGGATTTGCAAGTCATGTCTGATAAGGTGTGAATATTCAATTTTTAAAACTCTACAACTGAACAAAAAAACTAATCTGATTTTAAAGTGGGCAAAAGACTTGAGTAAACATTTTTCCAAAGAAGATCTACGAATTGCTAACAAGCTTATGAAAAGATGCTGAAATTTCTAGTCATTAGTGAAATGCAAGTCAAACTCACATTGAGATATCACCTTAAGCTACCCCCCAAAAAATACAAAAATAAAAATCAGAGATTTGTTAATCATCATGTACTGTTGGTAGCAGTATAAACTGATACAACTGCTGTGAAAATAAGGGTCGCGCTTCCTCAAGACATTATAGAGTCACCATGTGACCCAGCAATTCCATTTGTTGGTATACACCTAGGAGAATTCAAAACATGTTTCTGAAGAGCTGCTTAGACTCCTGAATTCATAGAAGCATTATTCACAACAGCCAGAATGTGGGGACACCCCATGCATCTACTGACAAATTAATGGATAAACAAAACACAACATATACAAACAGCATGATATAACTTAGCCCTAAAGGTAAGTAAATTATGACATGTTATAACACGGGTGAACTTCGGCATACACTAAGTGAAGTAAGCCAATCACAGAAGTATAAATATGATTCCACTTAGGTATCTAGAGTAATCAAATTCATAGGAACAGTGGAATGGTGATATAACACCTGAAGTGAAGGAAAAATGGGGAATTGTTGCTTAATGGCCATAGAGTTTTAGCTTTGTGAGATAAAAAAAACGTTCTAAAGATTGTGTGTACAACAAGGTGAATATCCTTAACTCTGTTTGATACCCGAATAAGTTCTTTAAAGTATGTACAAAAATTACAAAAGCCAGTAGCTTAGAATTCTTTGCATATGTATTATTAACAAGCGTTTTACATTTTAATGGAAAAAAACTAACATGAGCATGATGTATACATGTTACAGAAAACTGAACTGTTTGAAATAGTCACAAATGGCATTTTGAATATCATTGTCTAATGTTTTCTTACTTCTTCAAAAGGAGGGTAATAATGTTTACTCTGCTTTTGTTTAATTTTGTTTTTGTGATACTAGGGATTGAATGAGGGGGCCTTTGCTCTGAGCTACATCCCTAGCCCTTTTTATTTTGAGGTAGAAGCTTGGTAAATTCTGTGGCCTAGAATTGAATTTGGGATACTCCTGCCTAAACCTGCAGGGATTACAGGCATAGCCGCTGTACGGATCCTATTCCATTTTTTTGTTGTGGTTTTTTTTTTTTTTCTTTAATGACGTGATTGGCATACAGCTTATGATTTTGAGTGAACCTTTTTCTATTAATCTCAAAGATTAACTTTAGTAAGTTAAATGTTAGTACTATGTTTTGTCGCCAGATAGTCTTCTAGACATTTTTAGTTCAACTAAAACAGTGTTGTTCTGTTTTAGTATAGTGTTGTCCTTTGTGCTTTTTAAATTTAAATAATTTTATTATTTTCTAGGATCTTAATTCATATCTTGAAGATAAAGTCTACCTTACAGGATATAACCTTACCTTAGCAGATATCCTGTTGTACTATGGACTTCATCGCTTTATAGTGAGTATTCATATTGTTTTTTTTGCTGTTTTCCCTGTCATGTTCAGGATGGTTTTTTTTTTAATTATCTTGAATTTAAATCAGATTTACATGTTCAACTTATCAAATAAAAATGAGTCATTTTTAGATAAGGTGCTTTGTGCAAAAATTCCTTCCATGTCTCTACTTAACATAGTTGCCTCCTGTTGTTCCCTGGCCTGCCTGAATTCTTAATCTTTGCTTCTGCTTTTCTTTCAAAATTATTTCTCCAACCACCCTTTCAGCATTATCACCTTCATCCCACTCTGCTGGAGATAGTAATTCTATTGCCCATCTTCTGCACACTAGTATCCTAGCACTTTCAATCTCTTAATTTCTATTCCTGTCTGATGTAATTTGACTCTTAGTTTTCCAAACCTGTGTATGGCACTTTTCTTCCCGACTCAACGTAGATTCCCTTCTGCCTGACTTCAGGTACCTAAGCATCTTTGTCTCCTTTGCTCTGGCCTGCAGTCACAACTCTTTCCCTATAACTCCTCAGCAGTTCGCTGCTCCAGTTGTACTATCTATTTATAGCTGGGTTTGCATACAAATAGGCTCTTTCCTGTCTCCCGCACACTTCCACACCTTCATCACTTCCCAGGCCTGTCCTTTATCCTCACCTCTTGTCTTATGTCCTTGCCGCAGAGCCTCCTTTTGACTAGGAATGGAGGTTGTCTGTTAACCAGTCACCTCGTGCACCAGCCCTTCTGCTTACACATCCTTACTCACCTTGTCTCCTTTTTCTGGACACAAGGGATGGTCTTGCTTTTTTTCCAGGCTAATCTATCTGTCCTCTTAACAACCCCTTTTTTCAGCTACTCCCTCCTTTTGAAAAATTGTACCTCATATAGCTCAGTGGCTATATCCTGGCAGGCGCAAGATCCTGAGTTCAACTCCTGGTACCAAAAAAAACAGGAATGAAAAATTGTACCTCATGTAAAATTTCTTTGCAAACAAGTAGAATGCACTTGCCATGTTCTTGGTACTATTCTTCATGCTCTATAACTGTTAACTTACTTAATCCATGTCACAGGCCCGTGAGGTAGCACCGTTATTGTCAGCGCCTTGTTGCTGATGGGATAATGAGGTGTGGGAAGTCAGCCGTCTTTGAGGGGCTCAAATACGTGGCAGACCAGGTCCTGAAGTGGCAGTTTGCTCCAGAGTTTGTATCACCCCAACACCTACATCACCCCTGTGGGAAAACGAAGCCCATGGGTTTTACTATTCTGCATCTCATCCAGTCAGTCAGGTCCTGTTGTTTCCGTCTCCTGGGTGCCTCTCGCATGTGGCTCTTCCCGTGGTCCCTGGTGACATTGCCACTGCCACCAGTCTCATTGCTAATCCAGATAGAGATCCTAATAATATGGAGTGTCAGAGGTGACACTGGTGGCCACCGAAGCAGTCTTCTTGTGACCATGGACTTTTCCTCCCCTAAATAGCTAAGTAGTCCCACCTTCCCCGCGGAGTAAATGTCATCATACGGAGGACTCTTCTCCGACTCCTGCCTCCCGCCCTCGCCTTGCTCCTGCCATGGTCTTCAGCCATAGCGTAGCCCCCATCTACAGATGGCCGGGCTCTTCCTCCGCTGTCCTTGAACTGCTCCTGTCTTTTACAGCCTGGTCCTAGTCGGCCCTTCCTCTCTGGTTCACTCGTCCTTCTTCAGGTATCTCAGCGCCAGCAGTGATTCCTGGGCGAATCACAGTGACAAGCTCTTTCCTTTTCTTTTCCCGTCTTCCGCTATGAAACTGTCATGAGCCGCTTGAATCAAAGATCATATATGTAGCGTGGCTGACACTCCTGGCACATGTTATGCAGTCAGCCCTCCAGAGGCATAATAAATTTATTTTGTATACTTTTCAAGGAGTTTTACATTTATTTCATTATATCTCATAACTGAAGGAGATGAGATAAGCATTATTATTTTCCTTTTATAGAGAAAGAAATGCTTAGAAATGTATTTTATTTTATGAAAAAAATAAAGCAACAATGGCAAGTAATGTATTCAAAGACACAGAGCTCAGTTTTTGGAAGGAGCAGGACAAACCAGATCTTCTCACTCAAGTAACTTAGTGTGAGGGAGCCCTCTGAGCTGCTGGAAACGCTAATAATACGTGATACAGTTACATTCATCCCTCTGCGTCTGCGGCTTCTGCATCTGCAGATTCAACAAAATGCAGATTAAAAATACTAAAAAGTAACAATTAAGCAAAATTATATCTGTGCAGAACATATAGAGAATATGTTCTTGTTCTTCTATTATTCTTTGAACAGTGTAATAACTACTTTATATGGCATCTACAGTGTAGTAGGCATTATAAGTAATCCAGAGATAGTTAAAGTACACAGGAGGAAGTGTGTAGGTTGGATGCAAATACTGTTCCATTGTATGTAAGAGACTTAAGCATCTGGAACTCCCCCTCCCACAGGGGGTTCTGGAACCCATACCCCACAAGTACTATTACTATATTCTTAGTTGTGCCACACAGAATATAATCCCTTAATGTGGATTTATTTGACTTTAATCAAGAATTATTCCTCAGACATCCCTAAGTGATTGTGTTAAGTTCTATATCGTTATGCTATAATGGCCTAACTTAGTACAAAACTCCTCATATTATAAGTTTAAAAATTACTTATTGAGACCCTGCTATATTTGCCCACTATGCTAGACTTCACAAGGGCATAAAAGAAGTACAAAATGGGATTTTCAAAGAACTGTTAATCTCATTGAGGAAATAAAACTTTTACATGAAAACAATGAATTAGAGAAAAGTGAAATATAGTGCTAATCTCTGATCAGAAGATAGCTTGATCATTTAAGGAGGCAGGTAAAGTAGGGTGAAGAATCATCTGTAGCATTTGAACAGCCTTAACTACCCAAGGAAATTCTCATTATTTTAAAAGTCTTCTAAGTGTGACTATGAACCCTGCTTATAAGTAGAATGGTCATATGAATTCTCATCCTAAACAATACTCTTAGCTATGAAAAGAGACCTGTTAATCACTATGCTAGAGCATCAAGAAGGAATAGGACTTATTTTAAACAAAATAAGGAGACCAGGAGGATCGTGTTATATTTCTCTTTGCTCCACCCCCCACCCCAGCTCTTAGCATAGTGACGTGGGCAGCTACGTGCTTTACTGAGATTAGAAATACATAACATTCTATACCTACTCATAGTTCCTATTTTGTGTTGCATGTAGTGAAAATGTAATTTTAGTTCTGTTCATTAGTATAATTAAGTCAAAGTAATTTTTAAATGTGAAGAAAGTTAATTAGAGCTAAAATACAATGATCACATCAGCCTCTTTTTATTCCATTCTAGGTTCCATATATTTTAGTAGCTTTTTGACTTTAGAATGGTGACGTGGCACAACTTCCCTCATTTCAAAACGAAAAAGCCTCCAAGGTAAAGAGGATTTGCTGCTAAGGTATCTAAGTTTCTCTCTCCTGGTGGCAAACCTACAGCTTTCAGCTTGGGGGAGTCCATAACTGACCTGACAAGATTATGCTGCTGTGATTCTGGCTGCCTCACACAGGGGTTCCCCAACAGTTTGGCTCTGAAACAACAACAGTCCTGTTGGCTTTTTATAAGCACGTATTTATCTGTGGCACAGGGGTATTAGTTAACTTTTTAAAACACCATTAGGAGAGATGCATGGCAACCATCAGCAGACCAGTGAATGTCTATCAGGACTCCCAAGGTCTAGCTTCCTGTAGCACTGGCTGTCATTATGAATGACAGTGTTTCTCCTATCTAATTAAAAAAGATGATCGTAAAGTATATCTCCTACAAACCAAGTGTATAGTTGTGTTTTCCTCTTGAATGACTTGTGCAGGTCATGTGATAGGGAACACTCTACCAAAGGAGGGAGTTTGTGTGGCATTTCTTTGCCAGCACAGTGAACACTGTCATAATTCCATAGCACAGAACAGTCAAGTCCCAGCTGCAGAGTTGTTTAATTATGAGTCTCTGTGCACTGGAGGGCATTTGGTGTGTAGGCAGACAGGTTAGACAGTCCTGCGTGTTAAAATGAGCTACCTTAACAATATTTACCCATCTGTGCCTGTTTGTATTTCCCACTTTGCAATGTATATCCTCTTTATGTGTAGTGACTAGGGTATTATAATTAAATGTATGCTTATCTTTTTCAAAAGAACACTGAATGGAGTACACCCAAATAACTGCTGACCATTCCTTTGTTCCTCCCATGAGTCAAAGCATCTCTTCCTCCCTGGTCAAATGTAGGCAAAATATTCACACATAAGACCTTCTCATGGAACAGGCCTCCCAGACTAAAACCTACACAGTGACAGGATTGCAGGTTGCTAGGTATTACATTCAGATAAGGAGACGCCAAGTCCAGTGGGCCATCTGCTTGCATTCACCGGGGTCCTTGTTTGGTTTAGCAGTATATTTATTTGTGGCTTCGTGCATTCCTTCACTTAGTTGTTCACATTGTTAAATGCTTGATTTGTAGTCACCAGAATTACAAGGAAGCTTCAAGCCATCAGCAATCCCACTGTGTTGTGTTTCATTGTGAGCCCAGTACTAGCTGTGGCTGAGCTATTCTGAGACCTGGCCTGTCTTAATTCCTTTGAGAAATGTTATGTTGAGCTTCCTTTGTTAGCAGTGCCTATAAGTGTGGCTGTTGATTATAATATCAGTGACTAATGGCCTGCTTGGAGTGACTTCACTAATAGATAGTCCCTGTGAACAGACTTACTTGAGATTATTAAAACCCTTTGTAATGTTATGTGCTGCTTGACTGTATGATTGTTACCAGCTGAAATACATTTGTTCTACAGTTCCAAGCACCAGAAGTATATGCAGTTCTTTTAGAGGGAAATGAAAAGAAGGAAGAATAGCTGCAAAGCCATAAAGAGTGTTGCAAAAGCAGCGCGGTACCAGTTGGAAGGGTCGCAAGCCAGCACTGCACTGAAACAGGTCACTTAGTCTTTTTCATGTGTCTTCATGGCAGATTAGTGATTCAGAATATTATCTGTTCGGCTTTAAGGTTCAAAGTAATTATGGAGTGCCAGTATAAACAAAACGGAAAGCTTAGGACAAAAGCCAGGCACCACCTCAGACACACTGGCATGCAGACCGGTAACAGGCAGGAAGTGGCAACTAGATCAGTTCCATTTCACTTCCTGTTGTAAGAAAGGGAAAAATACATTAGCCAATGAGAAAGGGATGATGGAAAACCAATATTAAATAGTCCAGGGGACTCCATCACAAAATTCTTAAAAATGATAAATTTGATGAGGGTACTATCTGTTTGGTTTATTTATAGTAATTTCATAAGTAAAGCATCTGAACAAAAAGTATCAGAGATAACAAATTGAGAGGTCAGTCATAATTTTCTGACTCAAAGAGACAAGTTCCAAAGGTTAAGCTATTAAAGGAGGTTAAAGTGGTACCAGTGGTACTTTTCAGAAGAGCTCAGTGTATGTCTGGCAAATTTTTCTGAGGGACATTGATTAAGTTTACATTCCTGAAAGTAGATTGACTGAAAACGTTGATAGATCTTCTAGCTTAAAAATGCTGGAGTAAATCGGAAGATGTAAGAAGCTTTAGGCAGTTTTGAAATAAAAACTATTTTCTACTTTGTTGTGTTCATAGTCCTTCCAGTAGAGGCTCCAAGTGTGAAAGTTTTTAAGTTGATTATTTATTTTGTTGAATGTTGTTAGTGTTGTAAGTAATGGGCCTCATGGCAGCATACACTACTCCTGTGTTAGCAAGTGCTGTTCTGAAATGTAAATGTTAAATATGCATTTCCCCTGTCATCTTCAAAATCTGAGTGTAGAAATTAAGCACAAATCAAACAATAATTAGTCCTCTGTGTTTTACTTTTTCTGAAAATAATATCTCACAAAATGGCTAAACGGAGACTTTAAAAGAGGTCTGAAAGGACTAAAAAATTATCTGAAGTCATGTTAGAATCACGTATTTCAGCAGAAATACAAAATTGAATTAGAATAAAAATAACGGATATATCTTACTGCTTCCACTATCAGCAAAGAAGTTTGCTAAAATTTTGTGTGTGTGTGTGCGCACACACGCGTGCCAAGGGTTGAATAATTCATTTTTTTATAAGAAAACTGACCTCTGTTTCCCATTAGATCTAGATTTGCAGCTTTGTTTTTCTGTTGATTGCCGTCTGTATTTACTTATTTATTTTATAGTGGTGGGCATTGAGCTTAGGGCCTTGAGCATGGCGGGCACGTGCTGTGCCAGTGAGCCCGACACACCATCTTCAGGCTTTGTAAAAACCTTACGTTTTCGGAGGTTGTCACTCTGTATTCCTTAGTAGGTAGAGCACTTACCTGGAATTCTCAAGGCTTTCAGTTCAGTCTCCAGCATTTAAAAGAATCCTTCATTTGCTTTTGAAGTCCTTGGTGAAATTTACCTGTGATTAAGATTTAGAAAAAAGAACAAAAACTTAGCTTTTACAAAATACTTTTCAAAATATTTTGAAATACAGACCAATAACTGATCCATAAACAGTTGCTTACTGCCTCCTATTTCAGTGCACCAGTCAGGTGCTCCTGTTATTTTAAACCTAGTAATTAGGAATGTGTGAAACCATGAATTCTCAGTAAGTTAGCCTTTACGTTTAAAAAAGACTTTCTTGGCAAGTCTTTGCGACTAATATGTGAGTTCATCTCTGTGTCTTACACTTACTATTATATTTGTAGGTGACACAGTGATAGTAACATCTTCCTGATAACTGCACACGATTTTATCCCCTCCTCAGCCAAAATGAGTACGTTTCTGTAATTTGCTGTTGAGCTTGTATGCAGGGCTTCTGTGTATTATTAAAACCTGAAATTTCTATTTTTATGTAACAGAAGCAGTAAAACTCTCACTAACAATATAAGTAAACTGAGCTAGCAAATACGAGTTCAACTAGACATTTTTAAGAAAATACTGTCTACCTTTTTATTGTTAATATTAAATTGTATTCTATAATAGTTATTGAGAGACGAGTGACTTTTGTTAGTCCAGTAACTTAGCAGCATGTTTGCCTGTAGGCACAAGTATATATTAAGTTCTGAAAAGCCACAGGACATCCAGCTCACTAAGTGTCTCCAAGCAAGTCAACTACTGATGGGCTTTGGGCTGACTTAAGTTGTGGGTTATTCTTTTTTTTCCTTTTTTTTCCCTTTTTTTTCCCATTGTGTTATAGAGATTTGCAGTGTCTGTTAAATTAGTAACAGAAGAACTACTCCTGGTGGCTTTCTCTTTAACTGATAAAGTTTGATAGTTTAAAAATTTGTCTTAGAAGTCTTGTAGTCACCTACTTTGGAATTTGAGCCCAGGGAAATCACCTACAGTCTTCACTTCATCTCTCTAACCAGATCTCCAGGCATCCTTGTAGCTTGATAGTAAAGCTACATCTGCTAAAAGAGGCAGGTTTATTGCACACAAAATTTAGAAGGTGTGTTCTTGAGTATTTACTCAGCCTCCTTCATCTGAGTCTGTGATACTGAGAAAGAGGCCTTTCTGTACTAAGCAGTAATCACTTGGAATTGAACAGGTCCTTGTTTTGAGGTTTTCCCTCAGAGTTCAATAGAAAGGTGGCAGTAGTCAGTGTTTATCAGGTATGCGTGTGTGCATATTTTTTTTCCCTTAGGTGCTCCCTCATTTAGTATATTCCATGTCAATAAATCTTTGCTATTTCTCTGTCCCAGACCTTTGGAAGCTACTCTCTTCCCTTCTTCCATTTTCTTTTCCAATAAAGTAAAAAACACTGGGCCTCCAAATCCTGGATTAATGTAAATTTTGCATTGGTGGAGAACTTATTTCCCTTGAAAACCCATACGGTTTTAAACTGAACATAAATGCATTAAACAACTGCATGGCTTTCCCAAGTGGCTGAGATTTTTATTTAAATATGTTGACTTTTGAGAACTATTGGGGTTTTTTCCAATTTCTGTCAGAGTTGTGCTTATGAAATGTTGATATTATGTGTGTGTTTTTAATTTCTACTTAGGTTGACCTGACAGTCCAAGAAAAGGAGAAATATCTTAATGTGTCTCGCTGGTTTTGTCACATTCAGCACTATCCAGGCATCAGGCAACATCTGTCCAGTGTTGTCTTCATCAAGAACAGACTATATTCCAGCTCTCACTAGAAGCTACCCATGCCCTACAGAAGCATGATTAAAAGCATTTAAATGGAAAGTGTATTCTTTACACGGGACTAACAGAATTGATACGCAGTCATTGTTTATTTGTTGGAGCTGATAGAATTTGACAAGTGTAAACTCAGTCTGAATGTTTTATTTGTTCATAAGTTGAAGTCTTGCAGTTTTTAAGTAAAAACTAAACTGCTATCAAAAAAAAAGGTGATTGGACCATAAGTTTCCTTGTTTTTATAGGTGAATTTATTTTAATAAAGGTTGCAAATCAGTGGCTTAATCTTAAAACAAATTTAGACCGTCCTCTGAATGATTGACTTATTTGGCTATTTATTAACTCTTCATGTTTTAAAATTCATTTTCCTTTTATGGATATTTACAGTAGTTTATTAAAAACTGTGATAAATTATGCCAGTGATACAGAAAGGAAGACAGATGTATTTGTTTTCAGATATTTATGTGAACTAGTAAATGTGATTTAAAAAAAAACTTCTTGTTTGTTTCTTTCCTGTATTCAGTATCCATTGGGGTGAGACTAACTACTGAACCGCCCTGGAGGGGACTGGAATAGAGTACATTCCTCTTGAGTTAATGATTCTTCTTTGTTGTTGGGCTGTTGGAATATGCAGTGGCTAAGGAGATGGCAATTGCCACTATCCCACTAATTTTAAACCTCTTACTAAACTGAAAGTGAGCAATCTTAGCAAGGCTGCTAAAAGCACTACTGTGAAAAACAAAGATACTTTATTAACAGATCTACATATTTTGTAACTTTTACAGTGGAGTGAATAATCAGCTATTAAATGCCAAAGAGCTGCTTTTTCCAAACAGGAAAAGGAGGGTCTTTGGACCCTTTACTGGTTATTGCTGTCTAATGTTTTGGTGCTGGTGCTGAGCCTACCCAGTATGCAATTCAGAGTTCCAGTAGAAAGAGCAGGTACGTAGGAATTATACAGCACCCTGGTTGAGTCCTGTTTTTGTCACTTAATAGCCATCATTGATTTTAAGTGAAGCAGTGAACCTTATTTTATTGATCTGTAAAAATCAACAAGCTTTATAAACAAGCAGGATTAAGAGGCAATAGATGTGGAAAAGCCCAAAGTATAACCCACAGCTATCAGTAAAGATTAGTTTCCATTCTCTTCTCCGGGCAGTTTAATTTTTGCTTGTTTATAAGACAGTGAGGATTATAAAGTCTCCCCCACCCTGTTTTTGCCCTTCATCTTACTGAGTCAAGAGATTTAATAGGCCAATAAGTCAAGACCGTTCTTGCGGGGTTGAATTTCTTGATTCATTGCCCGTGGGAACATTTTTAATTTTATAAAATGGCCCTTAAATTAAAAACTGTGGACTTGTATTTTCATGTTCAGAAACTGTGGGGCTTAAATTCATCATAGGAGTTCTAATGCGTATGGTAGGGGCAAGTTCCATCTCCATACCTTGGATTGCAAACCCTCCCTGCAGCACTTCTTCCCGAACACAGCAGGAGGAGAGAAGCAGGACGGAGCGCTGATACCCAGCCTTCGCATCCCAGCCATGCGCTCTGCTGAGCGAGAGCGTTTTTTTGTGCTAATGCCCTCCTCTTCCCCTTTCAACTTTGTGACCCTGAAGCCCTTGGAATCTACATCTCCCACTCAGTTCCTTATGGAAGTGCACAACAGATCCAGCAGCTACTACCCAGCACCGTGTGCCATGACTTCCCACCACGTAGGTCTTAGAGGATGCGGGGATGGGGGAAAGGTGTGAACTTGGCTTCTGTAGCCAAGGTTAGATCAGTGGCAGGGAATTGATGATGTGCTGGCTGGAAGCTACCATTGGAAGCTCTAAAAGGTTCACCATCACTGGGTTGGATGATCTCAGTGTCCTAGGGAAACAATTCCTGTTCTCTTAGAGTTGTCACTGTGCAGCGTGGGTTCTTGTGTCTGGCACTTCCGAAATGTTCTTTCTTACTTAGTAACTTCTTCCATATTAACTTTGTCCTACCCTCAGAGGTTAAGTGTATCCTGAGCAACCAATCCCCTTGGGCCTCTGATTCTGGCATGGAACTCATTGTACAGGTTTTTCTTTCTTGGCCAGATTTAATTTCCTGAAAGCAGAGACTGTATTCCCTTGTATATCCAGCCCCCAGAGCAGTGCCTGGCACTCCACAGTAGGTGCTCAGCATGGGTTTGTTAAAGCAATGCACTGTTCTAGCCCCATTTTGAATTGGCAAAGAGAAACATAAGTGTAAATTACAGTTAGGTACAGCTGTACATAGCAAGAAGACCAAGTATAACACCAAAGTGGGTTGTGTTTAGCTCGTATAAAATAAAAAATGTGGAGATTGGACCATATTTGGTAAGTCCTGTCTTGGCTCCATACTGAACAAGCAGTTCCATTCTTCAATTACATTCTAGTATCAGTGTCAGAGCTTGATACCAGTTCCGATTACATCTAGAGAAAAATTAGATGAGGCCTGTGGGGCCCTCTACTAACAGACCACCTGAAGGACCTTTTCCAGAATGTTCTCTTGGACCACTCACAGTAGGAGGGAGGCCAGAAATGACATTCTTTCAGTAGGCACAATGCCACCTGAGTAGAGGCTGTGCTTGTCAGTGAGGGAGAAGGAAAAAAGGGGTGCTAGTTACACTCTCTCAGGAAACAGTGAGTGGTACTCGAGTCAGAAAATATCTTCTACCAGGCATGGTGGGCCACATCTGTGATCGCAGCATTAGGGAGGCTGAGGCAGGAGGATCACTGCAAGTTTGAGGCCATCCCGGGCTACACAGCTCAAGGGCAGCCTAAACTACATAATGAGTCCCTGTCTCAA